TGTCAGTTTGTGATGAAAACCCTAATTATAGTTCCTAACTAAGGCAAATTACGACATTTATTGCGAACTGGATAATAAAAGCACCAGTAACACCGGCTGCAGCCAGGTACTACAATATATACGGATGTTTGGAGAGCGCACAAACTCTTACATAAGCTTGGTTATGTCCATCGTGTCGTTATCCACAAGTGGCGTTTTGTGTACTCAACAACCGGAGTGCACATAAACAATATTGGAGCAATGTGGTTAAGGCTGAAAGAGTTTTTGAGACTTTATCATGGTTCCAGAGGCCGACTATTCTGTAGCCGTATGGATGATTTCCTCTATTGCATGCATTACGATTTTAGAATCTCTGAACCTCTTCTTAACCTTGACAAGTTTTTGAACCACGTAAAAGAAGTGTATCCACTTTATTTCCCTGGTTTTGTATGATATATTTTTACTCTATACTTATTGTTCGCTGATTGGCTAATATTTCTCAAGGTCACTTAAGATTTGTTCAAAGGTCGTCCATAAATTAGTCTCGCCGAATTTTTATATGTTACTCATCCAAGTTCTTCTTTTAATTTAATAATTGAATTAATGAGTCAGTTGAAGCTAGATCTCCATGGAATACCTCCAAGCACTGGACGGCTGTTTCGTAATAGTGTGGGACTCCTCAGCAGTGTGCATCCACGATCCTGCCCCGTGAGATTAGAACCTAGGACCTATAAATTTCACGCGTGAACGCTTAAATTCAATACCATTTAGCCGGCATCCAACTTCGACTTTTTTATTTAATCTGTAACACAACGAAGTTAACTTGACTGAGAATGAAATGGCAAGAGTTACATAGAAATATTTACACAAGAAGCGTTATTAAAATATTATGTGAAATATTTTATGATGTTTTAGTGGACTGGGAATATCTGGACCTACTTAGATCGTATGACTGATTGTTTTTGAAACATACACAAGTCGTCTATCCTCGTATATAATTATCGACTTAACTTGCGTTAGTAAATAACGGAATTAAATAAGTTAAATATGAGGATGAATTTTTGAATACGTATATTTCATACAGTCGTTAATCGGAAAGCGAAGTAAAACAAAATGATACGCGATGGAGAATGCAAGTAAGCCAACTCGATCTAATCAAGCGTTAATCGATATTTATAATCAGACAAAAACCAGTTAGAGACATGTGATGAGTGGGATAAGGAATGAACACACATATGCTCATATGGAAACAGTCAAGGTTGATAAGCGAATAATTAATACAGTTAAAATGTGACCCAAGAAGAATGAATAAATTGGACTGTCCGGAAGCTAGAATAAGCCATGTTAGTTTGACATAGCAAACGAAACTACAATGTCGCGATGAAAGACCAAAATAATAAATTTACGAAGTGGTAAGTAATAAGTGAGCTTGTGAGTTAAGTCATTATTGTTTGGTGAATGATTTATAAATTATAATTCTTTTAATGATTTGAGTTTCTAAAAACAAAGAATATTTGAGCGAACAACTGTTTTCAATAGCTTCATCATAAGGCTCTACAGTTGTGAATCCATAATTATTATGATAGTTTGCAGAGCTCAAAATAAGGCATTTACGTGTTGAATAAATTTTACTCATGTTTATTATTGTGTTAAATACTATGTATGTTTTTTGCATCAAACAATTCATATATTTCTAACCAGTTACTTTGTCTTCTAACATATTATGGGTAATTATTGAATCGGTCACATATTGCATACGTAGTGGCTGGTACTATTTCAATTTATTTATTCTCCTTGAGTCACATTTTGACCTTGTGAATTACTTGCTTATCAACCTTGACTGTTTTCAAGTGAGTGTGTGTGCATTACTTATCCTATTCATCACATGTCTGTAACTTATTTTTGGTCTAAATATAAATATTGAGTAACGCTTAATTAAAACTCGTTGGCTCACTCGCCAATCTGCCGACTGCTTGAATATCTGGGCCACCTGTTCCTCCCATCTAGATAATGCGTCGAATTATTTGGGTTTTTTTTTGTTCCTTTTAGCACATCTATGTCTATTGAGCTCACAACCTATTCAGGTGCGTTTATGAAAAGTTTACAACCTTTCGCTGCACGGGTTACAAAAAGGTACAATCAGCGACATCATGGTGGCTGGCAATATGCATTGAAACGCATGACCATTATTCAGATGTGGACTACCGAATTCCTAACATCTAACTGGCCATCACTCAGTATTTATCGTCAGAATCGATCAAGACATAAGAAAAGGAAACTTGTTGAAATACTTTATGCTGAGAATTCTATACTGTACCAAAAATATAATGTTGAATAATAATAATAATCTCCTCTGCTCATGGCTTCGCTTCCATCACTACGTTTCTCTGATTGTCTGTCTGGATCAATGAGTGTATAAAATATACGTATTCAAAATTCGTCCTCGTATTTGATTTATTTTATTCCATTATTCTCTAACGCGAATTAGGTCGATAAAAATATACGAGGTTTGGCGGCATGTATATTTTGATAACAATCACCATACGATTTAAATGGCGCCACTAAAATATCATTTCAAGCTATTGATCACAAATTATACAATCGTACAGTATTTTGAAATTGTACCAATTTATGGTGTGCAGTATATGTAAAAATAGCAAGAATTATTGGAGTAGCTTATGAAACAGCATTTCTAAATCCCGATTTTCTTACAAAGAAATATATGTCTACTTTGTTGAACAAAAATAAACTAGAATTAGGACCATTAAACTAATGAAAGATAGTCATGCAATGACATGAATTAACAGAAGTTAGACATTAACACTGTTGGATTCCAGCTCAGACTGAAGGTTGTGGGTTTGCCTACCGCATGAGGGATCGTAGATGAGTAGTGAGTAGTCTCATACTGTGAAAAATCGGCCGTTTAGTGTTCACGGGTGTTTTCAACGGTGACTTAACCATGATCAGTTCATGATTGCAGTGAAACAATCTAATTAAACATATAAGCTATGTTGTATGACTGGTAGGATCTTTCAGTTCGAGAATTAAGAAGATGATTGGTTTATTCTGATAATGTTGTTCTCTTTCAATGAGATATTATTGTCAATATTTTGTCTGCTTTCACTTTGCTTAGGTATTATATTTAACACTTATTCTTCATGCATTACTTCAGTAGTGATGAAACTACTGGAAATTCCTACCTGATCTTTTCATGTTGACTAACAATTTCATATCGATAGTTATGTATTATGACAATATGCTCTTTGATCTTCCTCTTTTCCATTTTCTTTCAGGATTCCATGTTAACACTTGCCTCGTGATGCAGTTTGGTCATTTCTGTAATGTATATCTTATCCACTTCCAGAGTGTTCTCCTAATTTCCTGTTCACTTTATAAGTTGATTTTATTCGTTTTTATTAAACACACGTTATCACAGGGAAATATTGAATACATATATCTTATCTGATAATGATTGAACAATTTATTAAAATAGTCAAATATTCTTGCCCGCCGTAGTTTATTTATCATTATACAAATGAGATAATTAAATGAGATTAAACTCCCCTTATGGTTTTCACAACTTCATTTGAAAGCACAGGAAAGGAACACATTATGCTTTAAATTTATGTAATAAAGTGGCGCAGCCAATCTCTTGTACACCTCTAGAAGACGGTCTCATGTACGTAGCTTCAATTAATTAAATAACTTGATATTTGTGTCATAAAATCTATATGGAATTGATGTATAGATAGTAAAATAATGGCCAATAAAAATGAGCAGATATTTCTTTCTCGATCGAAGATCGGTGATACTAGTTCGATAAACGTATAAACACTGATATTTAGTTGTCAACGTGCATCTAGTTTGTAGTGAAATGCTGAAACGTTAATTTCATACAATTTTTTCAAGAATTCATGAATAACAAATCACGGTGTAACAATTAACAAACTAGAATTCGGGATGTATGGAAAATACTTTGTTCGTAAATACGATATACCGCTCAGTCAATTTATGGTCAACAAATGTGCAATAATGCAAGTTGCTAAATAAATTTCAAGACATATATATGTGGCCTACTGCCTTCTAATCTTTTATAACAAACCTAAATCTCTTAACAAACATTTTGATATCAAAGATTTATAGTAGAAAATTATTTATTGTGAAAGACAAAAGATCTATTAGTTTAGATCAATATAAGGTTGTGAGGATTGTTTAGTTTTAATTGAAATCATGAATCAATCAATGTTAGACCACCATTTAAAACACCTGAGAATACTAGACGACCGTTTTGCCATAATATGAGACTACTCGGTAGTGCGCATCCACAAGCCTTCATGTGGTACGCGAACCCATGACCGTCGGTATTACCCGAACGCCTAACCTCAAGACCAGTGAGACGGCATCCAATAGTGTTAATGTCTAACTTCAATCTATCCATGATCTTGTCTAACCCTTCATCAATTATCTGAGGTAGATAACTGTCTCACACCCGACACGGTTGAATTTCACTGATCACGGCTTCTCATTAGAACTCCGAGGATTACCTCTCAAAGGTGGTTAATAGCATATGATGGTCAGGCAATATCGGGGATTCGTTTATGCTATGCATTAACACCGTTACATTCCAGCTCAATGATCAATGGGTCAAGCATTCGTACGAGACCGAAGGTCCTGAGTTTGCATACCTCATGCATGGCCGTAGATGTGCAATACTGAGTAGTCCAATATTATGAAGAAACGGCCGTTTAATACTTCCGGGTTTTCATTGGTGTTTTAACATTGATTAATGATCCCAATGATAATTCATATCAGCTTGTATTACATATGCATACATGCTAACATAAAGTTGAAATATTTGCTATGATCAAGAATCGACATGAACAAAAAGTAAAAAAAAACGTTGCGAAAAAATGTTTACTTCTGCACAGTAGATCTTTTGATAGAATAGTTATGATATCATTATTATTACTACCACTAATAATAATAATAGTAATTACAAGGGTGTTCCGTAAAGAAAAGATATGTCACGCAAAGGTACGATCAGGTCATATATCTGTTTTCCTACTAATGGTCAAGTTTCTTTGGATATACCATTTTCTAAAAAAAAACTCCGAGGCTATTTGGTTAACAGAAAAGATTTGAATATTGGAATATTCGGTCAATTCAATGACAGGTAGATTTCTAAACAGACCAATAAAAGAGAAATATTTTTTTTGACTGAGATCATGAACCGATTAATGTTAGTCAATCATTGGAAACCAGGAAGTACTGGACGACCGTTTCGTTCTATTATGGAGCTCCTCAGCAGTGCGCATCCACGATCCCGCTCGTGGGATTAAAACCCAGGGCCTTCATTCTCACGCACGAACGCCTAACCTCTAGATCACGAAGCCGGCCGTCACCCAACGATGTTCATGTCTAATCTCAACTAATTCACGAGATAATTTACATTTATATCTACCAGTATTCACACTAAACATTATTGAACTGAAAAGAAATTTCTTCACTCGATTCGTTCCTTCTTTAGACATTATTCTTCTTAAGAATAAAAAAAATTAATTTAAAAAATTATTTTACAGTGTCATTTTTAGTCAAAGATTTATACCAAATTCTTCAACAATATTAAAATTGGACAATTTAGATAAACAGGCTTTAAATGTATTATTGCCAATATGGGACAATGTTACAAATATATTACACCAATAGTATAACTGCATCGTCTTTATTTTTGATTGGTCAAATTCAAGGCTAAAGCTTAATATGCGTTTATTTGAGTAAACCATATACTTTTATTATACCCCCTCCCCCTTCAAAAACAAAAAAAACAAACAAATATTTTCAGATCCAATTCACTTTTATTGAATCTAAATCTCAATTATATAATTGTTGAATTTATTTCATCAGAGAATATTTTTGACATAAATAATTAGTCTAAACTTTGAAATATACCCTACTATCAGTGGTTCTATTGAACAAATGTAAGTTAATGATAATGAATAATTGTTTTTGGTTATTAAATAAGAAAGATTAGTTCAATGAAACGTTCTCTTTATGGCGAACACTTCGCTGAACTAATCTTTCTTATTTAATGTTTTAATGGGTGTATTCCGTTTTGTTTATTGTCTAAGACTGAACAGAATTTCATTATTATATATGTAATTTTTTTATAAAACATAAGGAATGTTTTTTTTTAAAAAAAAAGAAGTAAATTAATCTTTGAATCACTATTTCAATGTCCTGGAACCTTCCCTCCCAAACTCTATTTATTCGGAACAAAATTTTATGACTTCAATAACTCTAACGAAATCTTAGCTACATCATGTTACATATATTCATCCTTCATTGCCCTCTAATGTATAAGTATGTCAATACCTATAATAACGTTAAATTTCAAATATTTTAGATTGTAAGCAGCTGATGAGAACCTGACGAAATAAAATAAATTCAGATTATTCTGCACCAACCTTTGTTCTTGCTCTCTTTAAAATCATAAATTTATATCAGTTCAGGTTTGTAGGGATTGTTGAGTTTTAATTCAGATCATGAATTTAATAATGTTAGATCACTATTGAGAACCTGGAAGCACTGGAAGGCCATTTCTTCTTGAAGGTTCCTATACAAGGAAGAAACGGCCATCTATAGCTTACTTATCAAAAATATTACATTAGAAAAATTGAATGATCGCGTTCAAAAGTGTATATATCAAATTAAACAATATCATTAATCAGGTAATATAAATCACCTGAATATTATGTAAAATGACGGAACCATTGATGTTTAATCCTGAATTAATATCAATTTACATGATTCAGTAATAATAATATTTACGTTTTATAATTGATGTCGAACAGAATAATTTTTAAACTAATACATTAAGCTGTTTCTTAAGATCAACCCCTATAATCATTTGGTGAAACCAATTGAATGTTGATCATTATAACCAAGGACTTATTAATGAAAAATCTATTATGCGTCGGCATAATTTAATCCCCAATAGAAAGTATTTTCGGATTTACAGTGAAGTGCCTTATATCTGTTTTACTATGTAGACAGTGAATATTTATTATCACGATAGATCATAAATGGTTGTACATGCAATTGTAGAAAAAAAGGCGAATAATTCAACTGAAACATGTAGAACAGATTTGTGGGTTGTATTTTCACCACAGATAAATTTCAGCTACAGTATCACTGATAATATCAGACTCCTTAGAAAGACGAAACATCTAAACAGTGTTAAACTGAGATCAGTATTTTATAAGTTAACCAATCTCCAAAGAATGACTTCAATTGAAATAGGAAGATTTCGAAATGAAACCTCTTTAAATAAAGCAAAAACAAACATTTATACAGAATAATATGAAGTCTTGATAGTTCGTGGTTTCTCATCAGCTACTCACAACCAAATATGGATTAGAATTTTACATTAAGGTAAGATATAGTGTAAAACAACTGACATTAGTGAATGTGAAGAATCGAAATGACAAGGGTCATCAATAATAACCATATATATATGTGTGTGTGGAAGAACAAGTCAGGGGTTATTTCGTGTTAGAATCAAGGAAACATTAGGGATGGGTGATGTAATGGTGTAGTTGAGTGAAGTTCAGAAACAGCGTTTACATAATTTAAGAGAATCGAGTGAGTGGAAATGTATGAGTGAAGTGGATTATTAGGGTAGTGATAGGTTTATTACTGTCTCTTTTTGAATACATAGATCCGGTTTAATTTTTTGATTCAGACTTACTCCATCATGTATCGTAGTCATAGATACTACCAGTAAAAATTAAAAATCATTTGGCAACTTAATTAGTATCTTTATTTGTCACTTCATTAGTTCTAAAAAACAAACACTCATCATGTTATTCATGAATAAAACCATTTTTATTCCAATTAATTAAAACGTTATATATCAAGACATCCATTTTTGTGTGAGCTATTGATGGAAGTTGATGTATAGTTTATATTTTAATCAATTTTCCATAAGCTTCTTTTAATGAAAAGGCATTTGTATTTAGCGAACATAAGAAAATCTTCCCAATTTTATTACTTCCTCTTTCAGTGATCAGTTAGTTGTGATATTTACTTTTATGGATCTTCAGAAGTAAATTTTATATATCAGGTTATGTAATATTTACAATCATCGACTATGTGTTATTGAGGTTTTCCACACTATTCATACAAATGTATGTACTGCTCAAATGTTCTGTGTATTTCAAAACATTAGACAAAAATATCGTAACATGCAATCTTTCTATCACATACTATGTGGATAAACCAATTTATGATATATATTTATATCCAGGTCTACCATATTGTGTCCCATACATATACAGCTCACTTGACCTTCATAACGTCCACTTACAATGTTGTGTAGGAGGATATAATGTTGACAATGGCAGATATTTTAGTAGTATAAGGATGTGGAGGTTAAGCGTTCGCGTGCGAGGCCGAAGGTCCTGGGTTCGAGTTCCACGGGCAAGATCATGGGTTCGTACTGCTTAGGAGTCTCATACCAGGACGAAACATCTCTCAGTACTTCCAGATTTTCAATAGTGGTCTGACATCGATCCATTCATTATATCAATCTTAAAATAGACATTTTACTATCATGATGAAAATTAAATAAGCGATATTGACCAGATGTTTTCTACATGATGTTTAAGTGAATTTAAGCCAAATTTTCTGAAGTAACTCTTGACCAACTTAACATTTGCTATTCATCTAATAACCTGGTGAATCGTAATCGATTAAAAAAATTAGTCTTGAGACACAATTTTCTGTATGTCACCTGTTTATAAGATGTTGATATTCGGACCAAAGTAGGTAAAGTTATTATCGAACTTACAGTATTTAGATTGAAAGCCCAAAATATGGTTTATTAATAAACACAGCAGTGAAATTGAATGATCAAATACATATGTAAACCAAATCAACTATCTTTCACGCATCTGAAAAGTCCTATACTAGAACGAAATGGCTGTTAAGTAATTCCAGTTCATGCAAATTCCCTATACTAATAACCAACTGTTCACTGGCTTCGAGAGTTTATTCCTAGAGATCTGGTGAGAAATCATGACCAGTTTAGTTCAACTATGTTGGGTGAGAGATAGCTCACGATAGTCGATAGACTAGGATTACTCATTATCGTGAATTTAATAAAGTGAGACATGTTTACCATCGGATACCAGCTCACTTGTTTAGAGGTTAAGAGTATGTGTGGAAGCGTAGGTCCTGTATCCGCTTTCTGGATGCGAGATCATAAATGCCTACTGTTGTGAAGTGTCACACTACAATCAAACAACTATCCAGTGCTCTCAAGTATTTTTTAAGTGATGTTTTGATTTACATATGTATTTGATCATTCATTCAATTTCACTGCTGTGATTATTAGTAAACCATATTCTGAGCTTTCAATCTTCATATTGTAAGTTTGATATTAACTTTACCTACTTTGGTGCGAATATCTACATCATATAAACAGGTGACATACAGAGAATTGTATCCCAAGACTAAAGCATAGATTCATAATAGACATAATGTTTGGTCAGTTTATTTTTACATCTATCTTTGTATATATCTATTTCATTTCATCATTTATTCAATGTAAATGGTTATCAATAAGCTATAGATAGAAAACTATATATATATATATATATATATATATATATATATATATATATATATATATATATATATATATATATATATATATATATATATATATATATATATAATAAACTTTTGTATGATAGTATATCACGAAAATAAGATAAATGTTACAAAATAGAAACTAGAATTTTCTTAATTGATATGATAGTAAATGGGAAAAGATAATCAGTACTCTTTATTTGTAATGTTAACTATTCGAAATTATACAATCTAAATCTTCTATATTGAAAGAAGAAGGAAAACTAGATCATAAAAGAAACTGATAATCAGAGCAGATGGATGTAAAAGGTTCTCAGAAAAAAACCCAAAAAGCATTATTTTTTTCAGAAAGAAAAGATTGAATATGATTTATGTTAAATAATTTGTTTACAATAGTAGTTTTAAGTTTAGTTGTATTACGAATTGACAGCTTCCTTGTGACCTATCTGAAATATTATCGAATTCATTAGTGGTTAAGTGCTCGCACGCGAAACCAGTAGGTCTTGTGTTCGAATCTCGCAGGGGGCGAGGTCGTGGATGCTAATCACTATCATCTCTTCTTATAATGCGAAGATAGGTGTTCGTTAGTTTACTATATCAATTGTCTAGTTTTACTCCCGACATATCTTTCTCCGCAACAGTAGCGGAACTCGTAGATACATATGAACGTTACTTATTTATTAATATAATCTATTCAGTTGTTCTCATTTATTTATAAGATGCCTTGACTAGTTCAATTCTTTAGATATACATTTAAATCTTCCTGTATATTACAATGAAGCTTAATAAAGATCAAACTGAAAACAACATTGTTCGTTAATATATGCAGTTCTAATTAAAGACCTGTTAGCGACTATCAACGAGTACATAGGAATAAAGACCAAGTAATATAAACTTCACAATTCATCTGTACATTTAGCACGATGTAACGTTATATATATGAACATCTTTATCACTATGCTTAAACTATATTTATTTAGTTTTTGATTGAGATCATGAACCGATTGATGTTATACCAACTTTGGAAACCTGGAAGGACTGAACGGCTGTTTCGTTCTGTTGTGGTACTCCTTAGCAGTGCGCATCCACGATCTCGCTCGCGGGATTCGAACCTAGGGTCTTCAGTCTCGCGCGTGAACGCCTAACCTACTGGACCAATGAGTCGGCACAAACCTATTTAGTTCTGTCTTATAATCCATTTTAAGGATCCGATAAACTTATTCTTACTTTTAAAAGCTTTGAATTTAGATATTCACTAAGACCAATTGATTATTATATTCCCATGATATTCAGGTAAAGAACCAATGAATTATATCAGTTTTATTGT